TATGTAATATAATCATGCATGATTGTATGACCACTTAAGGGTTTTTTTTTTTTTTTTTGTGCACAAATAAGATCACATGCATTACAAATTACAAATGAGGGAGGGGGATTCGAACCTGTGATAGTGTGACCAATTGTACACAATCTCTTAATCTTTGTCACTAAGTTAAAACCTCATTGAAATTACGTTACTGAATGACCTATCTAACCTAATAATAATTTGATGCATGTAAACCATACACAGACATACATGATCTAATTTAAAACATATTACGTATAAAATGTAATTAAACATATTACAATAATGCAAAATTAAGACAAAACAAGGGTAGGTTAGAGAAGAAATTTAAATAAGCAAAAATATTGGTCATGCAAACCTGCAGCAAACAATGGATATGAGTAGCCAACCAACTTTCTAATGCTGTTTGTAAAGCTAATACAAAGTGGCTTTTCTCTAAGAAGTAAGAACACTTTAAAAGAGGTGGATTTCAAAGTTACCTAAGCTCAATTCATAACTATAATAAGTTAATATAAAAATAATAAGTTAATATAGATTCAATTAAATTTGTATATGGGTATAAGTATAAGCCTTAATATTTTTTTGGTGTTTCACCCGCTTTACCCTTTGAGCTAATTCAAATTTGGGGATTAGTTTTAGGTGGTTAGGTTCCAATCCCCTCTCAATTGTTGTTGCGGGAGATCGAATACGGGTCCTCCCTACCAAGTATAGTCTCAATCACCACTACACCAACAATCAATAGGTGTATAAGCCTTAATATAAATTCAAATAAATTTATATATGGTTATATAACCTAGTAAAAAGAAAACACCTTAAATAAAGTTTAGACTTAAAAAGTATTTTTATATGTAATTGAAGATTGAAAAGTCCGAAACTAATAGGAAACTATGAGATTTCTTATACTAGCTTTTACTTGCAAATAAACCTTTTGTGGATTAGAGAAAATTTTGCAACATTAAAATAAAATTATGTTGATTACTCCTTGTTAACGACAATATTTTCATATGAGTGGACACCTTTAAGAAAGACATCATGAAGATATGACAAACTTTTCTTGTGCTAAAATGTGGCGCACCCATATTTTCATCTTACCTTTAATTTAGTTTTCCTTTTCAAAATTATGTGCGATTAAAAAAGTCATTACTCTAATGTTTTGGATATTTTGGTCCTTTTGCTTTCCTCTAACATTATGGAAAAAGAATTTGGTTCTTTAGCTTTTTCAATACATTTTGAAACATGTTTAAGTATGAATGATCAAATTTGAATTTGGAATAAGGTAGTGGAAATTAAATAAGGTTTGTTAGTTGTATTTTATTATTATTAGGTTTTTCAGTGTTTTTGCATTGTCAAGGATTCTTCATAGAATATATCTTTGGTTAAATAGTTTTGTTTTGATTTGTGTTTTTGATATATTTTTTAAATTTTTATTTGTAGAAATCTACGAAGTATAAATTAAAGACTATAATGGTTTATTATATTAAAGTAAGGTTAATGCATGACATAAGACAAAATCATTCTCTTGCATTATTCAACCTATATATTTTAAAACCTTTTTTTTTAAGGAAACCTTCATGACTTGCCTCCTATTTCAATTGGCTTATTTGTCATGAACTTTAGCTAGGATTTGTTTTCACTCAAAAGAAATCAAGCACTAGTTAAGGGAATTTGATCCTTCTTTACAGAAATTCAAATCTAGTTGGTTCTTAATTTTCAATAATATAGAACTAAAATGTCATATCATTATGATTTGTTTAGTTGGCTCAAGTAAATGGAGGACATGTAATTCTCATACTTCCTCCGTTCTTTTTTACTTGGTCCGCCTTGACTTGTACACTATTTATCACTCCTCTTTTAACCGTCTTTGTGAATAATATTTAAGGAAAAATATATCCATGTGGGAATTTTTTGAATTCGTCTCAATAAGTACTATTATAAAATATAACTTTTATCATTTTTAGTTATGGAGGATTAAAGTTATTAATTCGTTAAAGTTTTGTATTGATAAGCATGATAAAAGAAATAGGTCAAGTAAAAAAGACAGAAGAAGTATATGATAATGCACCCAAAAAAGACTCATGTCAATTGTCAATGTCCTAATAGTACATGTGTGTACACTCCCATATATGCTGTTTTCATCAAAAAATCCAATTGCCATCCAATATTGCTTTACCTTTGAGTTGTAATGAAAATTATGATGCAAAACGCTTGTGTGAGATGAACTTCTATTATACGTAGGCATTTGAAATGAAACTTTCTTAAGGATTTCTTACATATGAATTGGAGTACGAGAGCTTAATTAAATATAAAATATTGGAGAGATAAAGATCAAAGTTGGACCCTTAGCTTAAATTTTGTTAGGACATGAAAAAAATAAATACCAAGATGTTGAATTAGAAAATCCAATGAAAAAGGAGAGAACAACGAATGGACGACAATATGTAAAAATTATCATCCACACTAGGTCTGAAGTTTGAGTTGCACTGTAAAATACATACTCAATCTTTATGTGCCAATTAAATACATTGATACAGATGTCTTCTTTAGGATTTCGGTTGCTATCTTAATTTTTTTTAATTGTTATACTTATTTGCTTATTGCGCAATTTTCAATACAATAATGTAATTATAATAAACCGTTAAATTATTACATTTATTTTCATTAAAATCTCTCAAAAATTCAATTGGGACCAAAAAAAAAAACCCCGAAAGTACATTTTACAAATTTGATATGCATTCTCTCTATATTATTTTTCTATGAAATTGGGTCCACATTTGCCATTTTACTTGCTTAAAATCTAGTGCCAAATTAAAGTGTATGTGGCAGCTAAATTGAAACGAAATGAACGGAAAGTAATAATGCGCTGAAAATTCGATCAACGTTAATAAAAAAAATTATTAGGATAAATTGAGAATAAAATACCTAGACAAAGGGTATAAATTGTTAAAGACGAAGCAGATAATGCAAATTAAGCGTGGCAAGAAAAAAAAAAGTAATAATACTTCTTCTATTTTATTATTACTAGTATAACAATGAAGATTTCACGCATCCATCGGTTTTTTTACTTAAGTTTAGTGGAGGTGATGAATAGGAGATTAAACCATCATATTAAGGTCGAGTTGTATCATATTAGGGTTAGTTGATGTCATATATTTCGGTTATGAATTATTCTAGCTAGTTGGTTTCAACTAGATCACTTTCAATTACATTATTGTTAATTACTTGTATTTTTACTTTTCAAATCAAGTCTTAGTCAAATCAACTTCGATTCATATCAAAGTCAAGTCATCTAATTCCAAATACTCTTTCAATTTCTGATTAATTGCAATACCTTTTCTTTTTAATAATGTCTGATTAATTGCAGCACTTTGATAAAATATTTAGGCTATATATGTTTGGTAACTAGCTTATTTGAGCAAAATTAGCTTATTTGACCAACATTAGCTAATTAACTATTAAATAAGTTGATTCAAAGTATTTGGTGGGAAGCTTATTTAAAGAGCTTATTCCACTAAATAAGCTCTTTTTCAAAAAGGAGTTTTTCAATTAGCTTATTCAATATCTTGCGATGAAATAACACTTATACCCCCCATTTAAATTAAAATCCAACCACAACTACCTACCCTCACAATTAGCTTATTGGTCATTTCACATACTCAAATAACTGTAAGCAATCAACTATTTACCAAACACTTTTATACAATTAACTTAGTCAAAATCAGCTTTTCACCAACACAGCCTAATAAAAACCCACTTTTTTTTCTCTCTCCCACAACCTCACTTACACTTAGGGCTATGCACCGGTCCAAAACCAGACCTAAATGGACCCGGGACCTGAATCATTGATTTTTAAGGACCGGAGACCAAACCTGAATCAACAGGTCCGGTTCCGGTCCATACCTGAAAAAATCATGTCCGGTCCGGGTTAGGACATGAATAGGCCTGATTATAAATTTGTTCCGTTTTTTTTTATTTTTTAAATAAAAATCTATTGGACATGTGTTATGGACCTGTTTAGAACTGATATGGACCTATTTGGACCTATTTAGACCTGATATGGACTTGTTTAGACCTGATATGGACCTGTTAAATTTAAAAAAAAAAAAAGTAGCTTCACTGGTTTCGGTCCGGACCTAAAAATTCCAGGTTTTACCCGGACTGGACCGGAAACCCGGAATCATGGATTTTTAATGATCGGGACCAAACCTGAATTCATCGATCCGATTTCAGTCCGGTCCAAATAGGTCCAGTTCAGGTCGGTTTTCAGGTCCGAACCAGTTTGTGTACACCCCTACTTACACTATATTCTAGTATTATGAAGTGTAAAGCTCCCACTTTGGTCTTTGCATGATGAAGCCTCCATTTTATCACCTTGATCAACAAAAGTTGTTCATCAAGTGACAAAATTGTAAATAAATCAACAAAAATGTGCAGTAAGCATGACATTTTCATAATAATCATATCAACAATTGTAGAGCTCATATAGTCATGTTTAATAATTAAAAAAAAATTATTAATTTATTTACCATTATGCCACTTGATAAATACTTACGAGTATCAAAAGATTATACTTGTATTTCATTGTGTTTCAATTAACCAGAGACGGAGAAAGTATGGTTTAGAGCAAGATTAGCCCTAAAATCTTAAGACTTAAAATGACATCACTTTTTGAAAGGTCCCATTAAAAATGATGGCATTATATTAGCTAAGATTCTTTTAATACTCACTCATATTTATCACTTTAGTCCTAAATTCACTTAAGACTTCTCATACTATATATTATTATATTTTATTTATTTTTATTTTATACTCTTAGTAATAATAAAAAAAATATAGTAAGGCCCACACTCAAGTCTTAAATTGAGTCTTGAATTTTCAAGTCTTAAATTGAGTCTTGAATTTTCAAGACTTAACTTGAGACTTGGCTAATACTTCTCAAGAGAAATGGGATCTAACAAAAATCTTGTCTTAATAGTTAATACTCAAGATGATGATATCATGTAAAGTCTTAAGACTCGTTAGATTTGAGAGAGAGGGGTTAGTACTCAGCATAGGCTGCATAGCAAAGTCATAGACTTTATAAAATAGTCCTATGCATAGCAAAGTCATAGACTTTATAAAATAGTCCTACGCTCCTACGTACTCAAAGAAAATTTGGTAAAAGAAAAGAAAAAAAAAAACCAAGAGCAACCAAAAAGACTAAAAAGGACATCCTCTCTTCCAACCTCCCATCATTCCATTATTCCATCAATTCAGACTAACCCCCTTTCTCCTCTTCTTCTTCACTCATCCATCTCTTATTACCCACCCAACTCAACTCCTCATTTTCTCTCTCCTCCCAGAAAATCATGGAAATCACTTCAAAATTCAAGGAGAGAGAAAATTACTCATCCCCTTTAAACTCACCCACTAGTTGCAGCACCAATCCACCTTCTTCTCCATTACCCATTACCAGATCCGACCCGAATAGCCCTTACCCAACAACATTCGTAACCGCTGATACTTCCTCCTTCAAACAAGTTGTCCAAATGCTAACCGGATCCTCCGAAAACAACCCATCTAAATCATCCAACCCTAAACCACTTTCCACCCATGATAACCACTCTAAAAACTATGTAATACCGCCCACTAAAACCGCCCCTAAAAAACAGGGGTTCAAACTCTACGAAAGAAGAAACAGTATCAAAAACTTAATCAGCCCATTAAACGCAGCGTCTGCTAATTTTTCCCATCAAAACTCGTTGTTTTCGCCGAGGTATAAGCAGGAGATTTTGTCCCCGAGTTTGCTCGATTTTCCGTCGCTAACTTTGAGCCCTGTTACACCATTGGTCGACGACATCGGCGGTGGCGGTGGTGGCGACGGCGGTGGCGGGCGGAGTTCGTCGGCGACGGCTGAGGAAGAAGAAAAAGCGATGGCCGAAAAAGGGTATTATTTACACCCTTCTCCCATTTCTACCCCTCGAGATTCACAGCCTCAGTTACTCCCTCTTTTCCCTCTTTCTTCTCCTCGGGTTTCTGACCCTTGATTTATTTTTATTTTATATAAATTATAAATAATAGAGTAATAATTTTGATTTTTAATAATTAAAAAAAAAAAAAGGGTTGAATGAATTTGAGGTAAGAGGGAAAGATTGATTTAAGATGTGTAGCAATTTGTATAACTTTGATACTCAATTCAAATGTATGGTGTTGGTGGATTTGAGGTGAAATGTGGGTTTTAATTAGTTTGTTGTCATATGAAATATGACTATAAGTAATGATATATTATTATTAGACGTCTATTATTTTAAGAGACGTTAATGAGCCGAGCTGAGCCAAGTTTAAACCGAGTTTTTCTTTAGTGTGAATTACTTCAATAATAATAGTATTAATAATAATTGTATTGTGAATTTTGATTCAAATTGTAAAATGTGGATGTATCTAATTATTGATTTTCATAAATTTAAATATTTGTATTGTTATCATGATTTAATTAGTAGTTCTATTCTATTAGAGTATTAGCATCAATAGGTACTATTACTAGGTAGAATCTTTTTGAATTTGTGTGATTGTGTTGAGGGTAATTTGGTAAAAGAATATAGGGAATTTTATGAAAGAATGAAGTTTGAAATTTGACAATAAAATTTATGACTAAACAGTTGGAATCTTACTGTGTCAAATTGTCAATGTGTATGAAGGTGGTAAGTTTTACACTTTTACTTGGTATTATTCTTAGACAATGTAAATCATTCTCCATTTGGTGAATCCCAACTTTAGATAAATCATCACCTTTTTTCTTTCCCTTTCTTTTTGTTTGTTTTGGTAGTGGTGTTGGTGGAGAAAAATTATTGTAGGGTCTCGAATCATTGCTACTACTCGTATTACTTAAATTTATGTACAAGAAAGATAATTTTCCTATTGTATCGTGTACTAGTATGTGGTTGATTTTTGGAGTAAAGCATAAATACAGTTCCTGAAGTTTCGTATAAAAGCCGTTTTAGTCCCTCTTTAACTTTTTTCATCAATTTAGTCCCTCAACCACCCACTTTAGTGTTTGTCAGCCAAAAGTTTAGGGACTTTGCTGACTAAGCAAAAGTTGAGGGACCTTGACTCATCAAAAAAAGTTTAGGGATGTTGATTCATCTAAATTTGCTTTTTTTTTTTTTTTTTTTTTTATTGTACCATAACTTATTATAGTTTGTTTTTTCTAAATTAAATGTCAAATTAAAACAAACACAAACTATCTGAATATGAGACCGTTAATTTTACGGAAAATCCAAAAGAATTCTCAACATCAAATTAACTTAATTTGTGACGTTTTTACCCTGGGATTTACTCCTGTCAAAAAAAAAAAAAAAAAAAAAAAAAAAAAAAAAAAAAAAAAACAACTTTGGGATTTACAAATATCATCTAATTTGCCTTATATAAATGATGAGATTTTCGGATAAATCTCCTTCACATTCAATCAATTTTATATATAAAGATGAATTCAATAAATCATAATACAAATTTGACAAAGAAGATTTAGTTGTTTCAAAAAAAAAAAAAAAAAAAAAAGAAGATTTAGTAACAATGAAAATGAACTTCATACTCGTAAAGAGTAGGATCAAGTGTTGGATACTTGGATTATACGAGTATATATTTCATTAGATCATCCTCATCAAACACTAAGCAATCCAATTAAAGTAAAAAATTAATTAAAATTCGATTATGGTCACCTTTCACCTCGCCGCAACCGCAGCTCCCACCACTGCGCCACCTTCCCGCATCTCCATTCTCCACCACAACAGCCTCCACCTTCGCACACCCTAATTTGCTCAGTCGCATTCTCCACCGGTCCACATTTCCAACCAGTGGCGTATCCAGGAATTCCGAACTGTGGGTTCGAAATCTTAAAAAAAAAACGATGATCATATTTTGATTAAAAATTCAATACCTAAATCAAATTTTTATCACGGATGAATTACACAATAAAAAAAAAAAAAATAAATAAAAAAAAAACCTACAAAAGCATTCTTCGAGTTTTCCTACTTTGAAAGCGTGCTAATACATCATCATCACTAACTCTTGCAAATAAGTCTCTCTCAAGACAAGTAACTAAACTATCATTCAATAGTTGATCACCCGTACTATTCCGCAACTTATTTTTTACATAATACACAATTAATTATCAATTAAAATCACAAGTCCCCAATAAACACAAATTTGACAATATAAACTTCTTCTAATTATCAAATTTCAATTAACAGAACAAGTAAAAATTTTATTTCAAAAAAAAAAAGTAAATTTTTTTTAATTCTAACTTCTAAGTTTCTACAATTCAATTTCTCAACAATTCAAGAATTCAACAATATATCAAAACCATAAACCAATTTAAAAAATAAAACAAGCAAACCAAGATTAAGAATTAATAGGAGTAGAGGAATAAGAGATTAAGAGGACTCACAATTGTAGAAGAACTCTGAAGTCTGAATTCAGAACAGTCGTCCCTCGTCCGTGTCTCCGTCACTCCGTGAGGTCGTCAGTGCTCCCGGTCGCCGGTTGGTGTCTCGGTGTGCGGTGCCGCGGCGGCTAGTGGCTACTGGCTAGGGTCATAGGGTGTCAAGGTTAGGGTTTTGGTGTTTGGGAATTTGGGGAAAATAAGAAATGTCGATATTTGATTTCTGAAATCTGAAATTTGAATGTAAGGAGTAAAAGAACAAAAAGAAAAAAAAAACAGTACAAAAGAAGAGGGCAATAGGAGTCGAACCTAAGACCTAAGACATTAAAAGGGCGCGTTGCTCTATTATTCAAAGCCTTACCAATGCACCAAACTTACCCATGTGATTATTATTCTCATAGAAATTTGACTTAACCCTTTTTCTTTTCTTTTTTTTTTAAAAAAATTAAAACTTATAATTTTTTTCCAAAAAATCTGTGGGTTCAATGAACCCCCTTGAACCCCCCTAGATCCGCCCCTGTTTCCAACACAAGATAAATCAAAGGCTTGAATTAAAAGATCATTATTCCTGATGAATGTTGATGAGGTGCAAAGTAGGGGATTGTTTCCCCAAGTACAACATTTTTTTAATTTTTTTGGTGTTTTTATAAATACTATTGGATAATCTCACCAAAAAAAAAATACTATTGGATAAAATGATTGTTGATGAAGTGATTCGATGAACGTATAAATGCATTTGATGCGTATAAATGCATTTTATAAATAGTATAGTGGTAGAACATTGGATAAAAGCATTTATTTGAACATTGGATTAAAGCATTTATTTCCAAACTGTTCAAAATCATCTCATTAAAATAATAAAGCTTCCAGAAGAAGATTACAAATTTTATCCTGGGATTTACTCCTGTCAAAAAAAAAAAGAAAAAAAAGTTAAATTACAAATTCTGACATCAAGTCCCTAAACTTTTTGATGACTCAACATCCCTCAACTTTTTTTGATGAGTCAAGGTCCCTCAACTTTTACTTAGTCAGCAAAGTCCCTAAACTTTTGGCTGACAAACACTAAAGTAGGTGGTTGAGGGACTAAATTGGTGAAAAAAGTTAAAGAGGGACTAAAACGGCTTTTATACGAAACTTCAGAGACTGTATTTATGCTTTACTCTTGATTTTTGTAGTAGTTTTTTTTGGTCAATTGATTACTTATGTTATACCATTAATAAGAAGGCAATCAATATGTTTACTAACAATATACTAACTACTACAACCTAATATGACATTGTACAACACTAGTAAGTCAAACGTGATATAATGCATATCTAATAAAATTCAAAAAATATTTAAGTAGTTGTATATTTATCTAACGTTAATGTTATACTCCGTAGTACAAGAGAATTTTACTACTAACACTTGATGATTTCAAAACCAATATAAAGTGGCCAAAACAATACAAAATGACAAATCTTTGTAACCATGCGGCCATGATCCAATGCATGGTATTGACAAGGATTTCTCAACCTCTACTAAGTTGCGTCCTTTTAGACTCTACCTTCGACATTTTTGGCGATAGTCATTTGGTATTGTTTTTAATGTCGTTGGTATACCAACAACAATCAAAGCAAACCTAGTTGGTATTATTCTGTGATACCAACAAACTCCTTATTGGTATTTTCTTTGATATCAACGAACTTCTAATTGGTATTTCTTTTGATACCAACGAACCCTTTATATAATACTAGCTTTTAATATCAACTCGTTTTTCAATCAATGATTTTTATCGGTACTAATTATCACAACTCTACTACTTATATATCGAAATAAATTAACTTAATAGTTTAATAGTCCATCATGCTTCGCAATAATAATTATTTAACTAGAGAGTTTTGACCAATACCTAAACTTAGTCGACAATGGAACCTCCGGCGTTCTGAGCTTCCGGCTTTACCAAGGTAGCTAACCCCAACCCTGTCTTCCTTAGATCAAGCACAACACAGATCTAATTCGTTTTCTACCTTAGATCGTAATCTCTAATCAAACAATTCTTATTGTGTTTATGTTGGAACTTCTTAAACAGAAATATAACTCATTTGATATATAAGGTTTAAGGGGATAACGTTCCCTTCTTGAACGAAACTTTTATTTAATTTGAAAAGATTACAACACTCATATATTACAACACACTAACTGAAAGCTTAAACAGACATAAGCTGAACTAGAGTTTTCTCTACTTTACAAGATATGGAGAACCAATCAGTCTCTTAAGGTGAGTATTTTTCTCTAGAAGACTCTCTAATGCTTTCAGAGGAATTCTCTAGTTAACTCTTCCAACTCTGCCTTCACTTCTTTGCCTAATGCCCTTTATATAGGGGAAGGCTTCACAAAGGTCACCGTCACTTTCTATGGCTTATAGAAAACCATGATTCAGCAAGTGAATATCGTTCACTGCTTTTCTAAAGATACTTTAAACAAATAAAACGTGCTACAATAGTGAAAGTAGAATAAATTATTGCTGGTGTGGGCTCAGGATTCCATTATCTCGTTCATCATCATATCTTGTACACCACCCTCACTGTCCTTACTATCTTCATAATGGACATACATTTGGTTGTCTTCTTCTATACCAAGATCCATCACACATTTAGCAGCATAAGATTCATCCCATGTGACAAAGATCTCCAATAAGTGCCCTTTTTCCCTCTAAGGATAAATATCTCCTAGTTTCAACTTGTTCAAGATAATCATACACTGATTCACCATGTAATACTTCTTCTTCTAAATAATTTCTTAACCATTCTGGTGCTATTATTGTAGTATTTTCCACATGTATTATGACAGGTGGTTCTTCCTTTATTGCTATGAATTGGTTAAGATACTGAGCAATATAGAAAAATCCATAAGCTCTTGCCTCCGTAGGATCTTTTACTCGTCTCTGCTGAATACAGATTGAATCTTTGAATTTGCAATGAACATCTTCAAACATGATCAGGAAATGTGGAGAGCTAACTTTTCCTTCAACCATTTAGATGTTTGCACTTTGCACTTGGACTTGTTCAACTCTTCCTTTGTATCTTGTTGCATCGTAAATTCTTCTAAAGACATACCTCTGAAATTTTGTGAGCTTCTCAAAGAAAGTTGTATTATTATCAGGAAATGGTACAATGTTATGAACCATTCCATAATCCCAAGCTCTTTAGTGCTCCGGCACATATGGTGCCCTCCATTCCAGAGAATGTGGATGAGTTGACACAGTACCCACTCTGGAATTAGTATTGAACATTATTCTACTTCCCCATAGATTATAAACATCATACAACTTGTATGACCTTGATACAACTAAATTGTACCAGAATCTAAAATCGTTATCTTTTATTTTATTTAGTATTATATCTTGAATATTAGGAATGAGTCGCAAGATAATGACCATTACTTCGTACATTAGGAACCTTCAAACTTTTACATGACAACTTTTAATCAAACCATCTCGAGATCTCTTTTTTGATGAAACAATCATGGCCTCCATCAAGGCCCAAGTCGAGGGTGA